ACCAGAGGAATACAAGAAACTTGCCGAGCGGTGTTGTGATGCTGATCCTGATAAGCGTCCAGATATAGGGAGACTTTGGAAGGATATTGACGATCTTATTGCAGTGGCGGACAATTCTGACAATTCTGATGACAACACGTGGAATACCATATATTACAATAATGTACAACCCTTATCACGTCTTGAGAAGGAGAGTAAATACTCCAGTAAGCTCCTACCTACAGGAGAATTACCTAAACCAAGAAATAGCTATGATTTGGATTCAGCCGCAGGTATGCAGTTATATGTTGATACGAATGAAGTCAATTTACAATGTTAACACTGCCCATTTCTTATAATTTAGAGACTCAAACTCTTTTTTGAATTCGCGGGTTTATACGAGTTTTATTCAATGGGTTTAGTGTCATCTTTTGGTGTCTCTCTTGTCTGTGTTGTGTGAATGGCTATTGCGCCGATGAAACCGGTGAGAAGACCACCCACTATAGAATGTTCCTCTGAGTATAATTGAGCATGCACATGAAAAGCTGGAACATTATTTTCGAAGCATTATTTTCGTGTGCCTTTTATCACCATAGTAAAGGCATATATTTATCGTCGATACTAAACCAACAAAGAGAATAAGAATGGCGCCATGCCTACCAAAAAAAAAGACGCGAATATTAAACGCGAGTTAACTACAAGCCAACGATCGCTTTCCTTCTCAAGTGTCCCATTTACTGATGAGTCATGCATATTGAACAACTTAACTAACAGTTCCTCTCTTATTAATTGGTCAACGTACCTTGGTTGCACTCGTGTAGCGAATCGCTGAAGAACAAACTTGGTATTGACCAACCAGTCGACAATGAGAAAATAAACCCAAGTGACTGTCATCTCAGTATACAAACACCAAGCACTAAACTAGTCATTGTACCCAAAACTTTTTCGTTCCTCCAAGCATTGAAGCCAACGATTCCTCGAATAGGCCCAAAGTCAATAAATTAGATGCTGCCAATAATACATTTGACATTTGCAAGGAAAACAGGAACGGAGACAATAGTAAGTTTGCTATCTCCAATGGATGAATGACGAACGGTGGTGCCGAACATTTCAACGAAATAAACCCGGTCTAGTAATGGAAAGGAAGATGATGGAACGAGTTATTATAGGAAGAGGCCATAAAATGAGAACTTTGTATTTCTTCTTGTGGTGTTTACTACGCGATCTTCCGTCAGCGTTAATTTGGGAATAATGGTCGACTAGCCGGCAGATAGAGAGTATGAATGCAGAAGACCGCCGTCATCGGAAAACAAAAAGCCCCGAACACTCTTCCCGCGACATGGCGGGAGGCTCTTGGTAATTGGATATTATAATAATCCGATAAATGCTTCTTATTTAAGTTTCCGTGACAAGAATTTGCTGAAGATGTATGCAGGTCTCATTTGAGGCAACTGGAATCAAATTAACAAGTGTCCCTGGAGCACCCATGCCATTTCCAATCCTGTCATTCTTTCCCGTAGCGAGATCCATATCAGCTGGCAAAGTCTCCTGTTGAGGGTGTATAATGCTACGGGATGGCGTTGATCGAGCCAATTGTGCAGGGAACGAGTGTGTTGAATGCGAGTCCGATGTATGTAGCCGTAGACTGAGGGTCGGGCGGTATTATTGATTTCTCACCGGTCATGTTGTCTCTAACATTGGAGCCGTCGATGCTGTCATTGAGCTTCGTCTGGATGCAGAACGTGATGAGGATTCATGGTCAGTGAATGTTTCTTCTTGGACTAACCAGATTGGACCAAAGATGCAGTAGGGTTCTCTCCCATTGTCTTATTAAAATATAAATGCTCGGAATATTTTCCAGAAATCTATATAGAGTTCCAACAATCTTTCGAACGTCTAATTTTTAGAGTAGAATTGTTGCCGTACACGTGTATAGTAGGAATGTATGTAAATGTCTAACTTCAAAGTGTATTGCTCTATAAATGCCGAAGTATCCCGGTGGCTGTGTCGAAGGCGGAGATGTGAGTTTCAGCCAGGTATTATATTAAGTAGTGGAGGAGGCGGATTGCCAACTGACGTAATGCCAAGTTACAGAGTATACACGTAGTGAGAAAGTGTGGTCTGCTGCCATAAATAATTATAAGGAGGCGGAAAAGAATAGGCTATGGGGGAGACTGAAAGGACTGGAAGAGAAGGTGGAGAGCAGAGTCACTCGGAGAGCACAATTATCCCGACACGTTAAACCGACACGTATGGTAATAGCGTTATTATTATGTGTGCGGTATCGTGACATTGATCCAATTAAAATTGTGTACGTTAACTGTGAACGGGTAACGGTTTTCCGTCCCTCACCTCAGTTGGAATCTGGTAACAACATTATGAGTATAATGTAGTAGCCAAAAGACTTTATTACACTACGGCCATGTAAAACTTTTTCAATTGTTGGATGGTGACAATGCTAATTTAGCAAACATACAAAATTGTAGTTTGTTCCCATGATAATGTTGGGGCACAAGCACGCATTAAACAAAAATTGATGCTTTTCAAGAAAAATACTAGCATTTCTGTATTAATAATTCAAATTTTAAAACCGTCAATTTACAAAGATTACCTGTGGTTTGAGATATAACTTTTCAAAGTTCGATTAATTTATACTTAGTTTATATGATTAACCGAAATTTGAAACAACCTTTTTGGGCAAATTTAATCTTCATTCAGGCCGATTTATTAAGTCCTTAACAAAAATGGAAATAATTTGTTATAAATTTCTCGTTCTTTGACAATGGGTAATTGAGAGCAGGGGTCATAAAGTTATCTTCTGTCGTATGTCAGATAGGAATTATGTCAGATCGGAATAAGAAAGACCACCAGGTAACGACCTTATAAAAGTATTTTATTGACATTACGATATCAATCCTACATGCGTATAAACAACAGCGTTTGTTATAAATATATGCTATTTAACGTTGGTAGGAAATAAATAATCTATATAAGCGCAAGAATCTTGTGGTATTACTACTTCTGTACTTGTATTACGTCTTAGATTATATTGCCTGTATACACTTAAATCTTACCCGAACAATAAATAATATACGCATAACAAATTACTGCCTCGACTGTGACAGTTAAATATATTGTATACTTCATAACATTTTGTTGCTGTCATTGTAATTATATCACAACGTAGACTCCAAAACCATATTCACTTACGTAAAACATTGAAAGTTCAAAACGTTTATTTCGCATGTCATAAGGAAAATCGTATAAAACATGTGATCGAAAATGACGTTTATTCTCACAAAAAACTGCACAACTTAGGCCAATGCCGAAGGAACAGCAAAATTATCTTCAAATACGATTCATTCAGTGAAGAGTTCGGCAAAAGTATAGTATTGACTAATTTTACACGTTGACTCGTAAGCTGACATAGAATAATCGTCAAATTGTAATGTTAGCGCAGGTAACTCATCAAGCAAATAATAATATGGCATACACTGTTGTCCTATCATTCCGTTTATCGCTTAAATCAAATCCATTCTAGTAAGCTACATTCGGAGGGAGGCGGACCCCACTATAACATCTGAAGCGGACTAAATCTGTATTCTCCAAATTCTAACTTATATTATATACTTGGCAGATTTATCTTATTCTAAAACTTACCTCAAAGCTAATGAGACACTCCTCAGCTTTAATGCGATTTGAACAATAATTTTTTCAAGTTCTGTCTTGTAATTAAAATGTTCAGTAGCTTTATCACCCATGAAGCTATCGGCGTCTTTTCTAAAATTTAAAAACGAAATAAGCAACCAATCCTTATATACTTTGAAGACATTTTGAGAACGGGAACAGAAACAACAATATTCGCAATTTTTGTTATGGCACGTTTTTGCGATCAGTCACATGATTTTTCTCATTACTTTAATTCTCAACACCTCGGCGTCAATAAACCCACGTGCACGTATTTTAGCTAGGTTACACAATCTACTTTATGACTTGCATATCACTGGAACGAAGCGTATTAATGAACGTTCTTACAGTGCATACAAATTATGCTCGAATAAAAGCTCTTTTGTGTAACTATTGTAAAAGAGAAGAAAATTGATCTTTGAAAATCGCACGGAGCCTCGAAAAGTATACTGATTGAGATAATGATTCAAAGGAGAGAAAGAGCGGGAGAGTAGGAAGAATGGAAGAGGAGAGAAACACTAATTACTGAAAGTGCGATTGAAGATTCGACCCCGTCACATCCAAATAGTCTGATTATGATGTTCGTCAGTTGGATGAACCACCCAATCGAAATCGCATCCAGATTGTGAGCATGGCTGCAGATTGGAGAGACCGGAATTGTTGAGGTGTGAGGGATGGGTCTGGGATGTGTGGGTGAATGCAAAAAGCTACGTCGGGAGTAACGACTTCTAAATTCGTAAAATGCGGTCTGAAAAAAAGATGCCAGTTAGAGCTAACGTTAATGACATAGCATCTTATTGATAACTTACAAGCTCAGATAGCCATGCTGGATCAATCATTGTCAAACACGCGCATAAATGCTTTCGTAGCCTCGACAACAATTTACATTAGAAAGAAGAAAGCCCGTGGCAGTTCCTCAGACACGTAACTTCGTGAAAAATAACATATGGTGCGTTTCTCGTAAACAGTACGGACGTTCGTAAACTTGACTAACTCCAAATGATAAACTTCTTACAGCGTTATCATTTTCGCAGCATTGGCAAAGTCTGATAAGGCATTTCTTATTTTCACCCACATGATTCAAAAGGATTATTGAATCCTTTAAGAAATTTCAACAGTTGAGATTTTATAGAAAAATGCTCTAGACGAAAGCACGAAAGTTCAGAAAATAATCATGACACCAGCGGGCTGATTGCTGACCGTGTGTTGTGAAAGCAGTATAGACTGTTAGCATGGGAAAGTGATGGTTAGATGTCGAAGCAAGCAAAATCTAAACGGTACCGTTAAATGATTGTGGTCTTTCAACTGCAAACTTCTTCTCTCACCTTCGGCCTTTGATGTGTAGCAAACGCGTTCATTGCAACATCTATTGGAAACTAAAACACACTTCTTTACTGCATCCCAATTCAGTAGCTGAATGTACCTATCGATTGTCAGATGAAAACCGCTCTTCATAAATTGAAAAGACAATCACAGCAGCTTACTATTTGCCCGAGAATAGGATCAACTGGAAATTCAGCCAAATGTACTCTAAGTGGTGCGGTTAAATTTTCCATCATTGTCCAATGCTTTCTAACTGTAAGAAAACATATCGTTTTATCAGAAACCATCCTCAAGATGAATAGTAATATTTCCGAGTTATAAAGATGTATTATGCATTACCCCCCCCGAACATACCTCAAAGCACGAATCATCAACTGAGCACGTAGAGCCCTTGGAAAATCAATCTTAGGAACTATACGAGAGTCTTCAGCTGTACCAAATTGCATCTATTGAAATCAATCCTATCAGTAAATCCGAAATTTCATACTACGACCTCCTCATCTCAATTGTGAATATTACCGCTCGCTGCATTCCCGGTATGCTCGCAATGAATCCTCAGTATACAGCCTGTACGTTTTCCCTGGTTTAAGCCCTCCAGCATTGTTGAGCTGAGTACTACCATTAGGCTTTCCATACCATACAAGTCTTTGGATTATGTGCACGTAACTAAAGAATGCGGATTGTACTATTAGTCGCTTCTATTTTTTAAACTTACTTTGAAATCCACATACGAAAAGCCCAAGTGCTTCTGCGATGTCTTGATGGTTCAAATGTAAGTAATTGCTGTTCTGTTGGTAAGCGTCGCATCTAAATTCCATCTTCAGAATAGTTAAATCTTCAGAATAGTTAATGTGATCTAACACGATTTTCCATATGTCGTCCTCTATATGATTTTAAGCCATTGACAAATATTTGAACTTTCTCGAAATTATGATTTACTGTTTTAAGAAAAGTCTAAACGTAAACGCACAACAAACAATTAGAAATAACCCCATTTCTTCTGATTGATCAAATGCATTTGCCCAAAATGTAACAAATTCTTTGCGCCCATGGTAAGCCTACCCAGACATTATAATATCAATTGTTCAAAAATGGTTTCTTATCCAAATTCGTATCTGCTCCAAATCGATCATTCAATGACTCAAACCGATCGAATAAATAAAATTTACGCAAGTAAGGGGCAGTTGCAAGGTTGACCAATAAGATCCTATCTATCAATATCAGATCGATGAATGGAATAGAAAGAAGTGATTTATTCTTAAGCACGAAATGAATATCATAGTTGATTTGTCCTCAGGCCTTTTATCAGATTGTGAGAAGCTTTACGAAAGTAGCAAATATGCCGACGTTTCAATTTATGTCGGAAAGGAGCCAAATAGTAAGATATTTCTTGTTCATTCACTAATATTGTGTACACGAAGCTCATTCCTTGAGAATAGCTTATCCGGAAATGCAGAGTCGCCTAAAGAGATTCAAAAGACTGCTATAACATTGGAAGATGTGTCACCTGATGTTTTCGAA